GGTCTCTGTGCATGGTGTGTTTGTAGAGAGTTGAGCAACATAACCCAATCAAGAGCTAAAATGGCTGTCTGTAGAGCACCAGCCTGGCTGACAAATCTACTTTGTCCGGTAAACATTCTTCTTTGAATGAATGATTCAGACTCAAACTGCATGTTGGTAACTATATTTTAAACCAAAAATTCCTCACATAATAAATACATTTTATGGACATTAACTTCAATTTTACTTCAGAAAGCTATTTACAATATAAATAATTATAAATGGAAACACTTTGCAAGATATCATTGACATAGCTATTATTTTCTACTTTACATTCCAAAGTAAAAGTTCAAATTACAAGTTTATACTACAGTATCACTAAAAACTATACATTGCAAGAGGGTATTTTGAACCAGTATCTTCTCTCACAAATATAATCCTTTTTATAGCATGTCAGTCAAAAAACAAGCATAAAATATTTTATCTTTCTTGAAGTGCCTCTTGTTTCTTTTCTTTTTTTGAAATATATTTCTTTGAAAAGAAGTTACAATTATTGGAAAAATTTGTGCATGCCAATTTCATTTCTTTTGAAATGTAAACACACCTTAATTATTAGGTAGAAATTTAATATGATCAGGTGTGTCTAAGATTATCATACCTCTTTCCTTGTTTATGAAGGCAAAGTTTACACAGCAAATCCCAGTAAATAAAACTACAATGATTAGCTTAAAATTATGAATTAGAATTTCTTGTGTGAATCATCATACATTCACATTGGAGATAGCACATTTATAAATTCTCAAAGTAATATGAAAGTCATTGTGTGTGTGTGTGTGTGTGTGTGTGTGTGTGTGTGTGTGTGTGTGGTGTATTTTCTGCACAGTGCACAGTTTTAGAGAAGGAACGCTGAACAAATGTCTATATCTCTGTCATCTTACCTTTTGAATGTAAGCACTACCCGTACAACCTTTGTGCACAAGAAATAAACACCACACAAAACTTTCCCCCAAGAACATTTCCTATTTATGATACACTTGCGTGTATCCACAGCTGTTCTGTCACTCAATTAAAATTTAGAATGTCTTATCCACCATATATTTTCACAGTAAGAGCTAGCCAACAGATTTTTACCTACAGTGAAATCCTTACTCACAAAAACCTGACATTTACATGAACGCTCAGTTACTTATCTGGAGGACTTACATTCTTTGTTAAGTCATTCAGAAAACTGGATGTGTGTCTACATCTATCATTTGAGTGAACTAAGAAGCCAAAGCCAGACATTCGATTTTTTTTTTTTTTAACAAGAAGGACTGTACCACAGTGTAAGCTATTCCTGGCAAGATAAGTGATTCCCAGTCAAGTCTTCAGCTTCCACTCTGTCACTCTCAATTACTGCTAGCACTAATAGATCATACAAATAGCTTAGTGATTAACTGGTTCTGAGAGAGAGAATCAGACAGAGAGATACTGAGCAAAAGACGGTTATAAAACAGCAAGTCTGTATTCAGAGTGTTTCCAGTTATATTATCACGTGATCTAGATCTTGTGGGAGGCTTTCATTTTATTTAAAAATATCTATTCATACTTTCCAAATAATCTCATATTAGAATTAAAGTCCACATAAAAAAGAAATGGAAATGGAACATATTATCCTTTTAAGGAGAGCTCATTCAAGTTTATTTTAAGTGGGATTCTCTGCCCAAAGGCAGCATGTGGCAGCAGGGTGCAGACGTTAAGAATAGTATTTGCTGGGAATACTCCAGCCCTATAAACTACAATCAGAAAATAATAAGTAGTTTTCTGTATGAACACTGAAGAAATTGTTTATTACATCCTGTCTGGTTTTGAATGTCCTATCAGTTTTGACATAGTGTCTTATACAAGCAAGTACAATTTAGAAATGCTGTCACATTAGATTTTGCATGTGATGTCAAAAGATTTGTGGGGCCAGAGCATACATAAATGTCTGATCTACATTGTCTCTGACCTTAAAAATACATCCAAAAAGAATATATCAACTGTATGTTCTCAATAATAATTTTAACAGAATTTTCACAAGGAAGATTGGGGAAATAGATATTTCATTGGTCATACACAGTTTTAAATTTTATCTTGGTAAAGAAAGCAAATGACATCAGAGATAGTATTACTATTTCCAGATAAAATTGGCTTTTTAGAAACTAATGAATTGTGCATGTTGTAGTGATATAAATGGATGTAACATTTTTATGAATTCCCAAAGTGATAGAAGGAAACATGCTTCTCAGGCTTTTAATTTTTAGCAAAGATGGGAAAAATCAAGGATTAAAAATAAAACTAATTTAAGTTTAATTTTAATTGCTTAAGTTATTGGGAATGTGTTTATTTTACATCCCATATTTTCAAGACACAGATAATTCTTTATGAGCAAATATGTTCCTGTAGAGAACAAAATAATGTAGATTACAAATACATTTTATGTATCTATATGAACAGTAAGAAGTCACCTAGTTGTAAAAGGTCAATTAATTTTGAGTCATTTAAATAATCATGCCATTTTGCAAAACAATGTAAGATATATATATATATATTGTGAGTCTATGAGGCATTATATGCAATATTATAAAATTGCCACTGCAAAATTGACATTTGTTTAATTAAGTCAATGGCTAATGTATTTTAAATGGGTCAATCTACCAAGATTGTTAACCAAAATATAATTTAGAAGATTCCGTCTTTTTTTGAAAAATATTGGTTCTGGCATTCTGGGAAGCATTGCTCCTCCTTATGAGGCTTTGACTGTGGAGTCCACAATTTATTTTTGTATAAGTTATCTTCCACATTAAAAACTCCACTGGAATTCCTTTAGTGACACCCTTCTCTTTAGTGTTAGTTCATATTCTTAGGTTCTTCTTTCTATTTCTTACAGAAGGTACCTCTGATACACAGCAATAGAACTTACTTGTATAGATTTTCTGCTCAAAATACATATTTATCAAATATTTGTGTCTGATCTACAGAATTCTGCAAAACCATCACAACTCGGAAAACATTTCTCATGTTGAAATTTTATCCAAATCATCTATCCTGTGTGTTTCTCAGAAATAATTTTCTCAAAATTACTGAATATTTCGCTTATGGAGTTCAAATTTTAGTTTTCATTGTCCTTTCAGCATTTTTGAAAGTATATTTAAGAACATAAGCTAATTTCTCATCGACTTGCACCTGTCTTCGTTTTCATTGATAATATTATTCTGTTATACTAAAGCAGTTAATTTTATGTAGCTTCATGTACAAACAACCCAATGTTCAACTCTAAGTTTATTGTCATACAGACTGTCACCAAATGACTGTGTTGAGTGATGAAAATACAGTACTAATCCCTGAGTGTCCAATGCCATGTAATGTTTTCATAATCGTCAAGTCCTTCCAGTACATTCTCCCCCTTAAATATGGCAAAAGTAACAGGCATGGGAATCCCAAAAAAATATTATCCATGAAACTTTTCTAACCAAACATGTCATTTTTCTTTGAATAGTAGAGAATAGCGCGTTAAGTAAATCTTCCTTTTTTTTTCCTTCCACTTCATGAATTTCTACCATCTACATTTGGATCTAAGAGAGAATTGACTATAACTCCTCCTGCCTGAAAGAGACCACACATTGCTTAAGTAACAAAGTATCTAGACCTCTGAATGTATGGAAAATCCAGAACTACCAATCTTAAAATCTCATAGCAGAGATTTAACTGTTTACAAGTTTACTTCCATTGCACCAATGAATCACAGAACCATAGACAAGAGCTGCCTTTCAGACCAGAAAACCAAGATGCAGGGACTGTGAATGATGTATCTATGATCCCAAAATTAAGTGACAGGAAAGAGCAGAATGGAAACCCAGAGATCTTAGCATCTAGTTTACCGAACTTTTTACATGGACATAGAAGCAAGTATGTTGTTTTCAGTGTCTACAAACAGCAAAGAAAGTCAACATTTTTCCATGTGAATTTCCCATGAACCTTTGGAAGCACTTGTCTATCTGCCTGAGCTTTTATCTTAGACTCTCTCAAGAGGCTTTTCACATATGACACACTGTCGTATCTGTGTTTTCAAATGTTTTTAAACACTTATTCTGTTGTCTTGTAGTACTTTACAGAGCTTCCTTAGTTACTTTTGCACTTATCAGCGTTTTGTCTGGGTAAACTGGTTTAAATTTCTTATTTGTGTATTTTGTACACTAGCCCCCAAAATGTTGTTTACCTGTTTCAGTCTCAAAAGTTGTTTTGAGATTTAGTATCATTCTACACTGCTTTGCCCTTTCCTTCACTAAACCACTTACAATTGAGTAGGCTACGTTTTTTACGTGTCTCTGAACATTTCAATGCTACGACTTAGAAAGATCCTTACTGTTGTGTCAATCCAATCCTGGTCCATGTCTAACTCAAAAGTAAGGTGGAAAATCACTGCTTCCTGATTGCTTGTAATGGATACCAGGTGAAAACACACTTGTGTACTGTAACCAGCACCATTTCTCTAATGAACCAAATGGGTGGACTAGTTTAAAACCATGAAGAAGAAGAAACAAGTTTACAAGACATATCCTTCTCTTCTTTAGTTATTTTGAGAACTGGTGTTTCCTTAAGAAGCTTTATGTGACAGGTAAGAAAAAGTACCCATTTTGTGTATTTACGCATGTGAAGTGTACGTAGCAGTTTGTAAGTAGCATAAGGTCTATGAGTATGAATTCTATTAGATTGTCACGACACAATGTTTTCATTCATCAGCCCTTCCAAGTGGCATATATGCTTAATTTGCATTAGTATTTTTCAATTCAAATATATCTATTATGGTTCTGTTATAATATGTGGGCAATTTCTATATTCATTTTAGCTCAATTATCTGTGTATAACCCTGAATGTTGGTACTGTTTTTGTTTTGTATTCCTCCTCTCCCCCCCCCCCCCCCACCCCCCCCCCCCCCCCCCCCCCCCGCCTCACAGGAACTCGTGTCAAATAGCCAGAAACTTTAATTTAGACTTTCTAACAATCTGTGGTATAGTAAATGCTGCTAATGGGGTATTAAACTATAAATGTGTTTCAGAGACCCTTGAAAAAAACAAAATATCCTAGAAAAACATCAGCTTCCATTGGTTATTATAACAGATGTTCCCTTGTGTCCTTGTGCTGGGTCTGGCTGCATCCTCAGATGGGAAGTTACATCAAAGTGTGAGCCATTGCAGCCCAAGGAATAGTTTCTAATAGTTTCACTGTCATATAAATGCTCCAGGGCATATCCAGTTAATGTATAGGCATGCTTATCAAAATACTGCCGGTGAGAGCCAAAGCAGTTTGGAGAAATGGCAGGATGCTCTCCTGTCGTCTGATGAGGAGACATATCTGAATGTAGGTAGTCTTTAGCCAAGATCAAACTGGACTTTGTAATGCGATCAGAACTGGGACTACTTATCCGAGACAGTGCAGTGGGGCTGTTGTCATAGTCATTGTCATGAGGGCTGAGCATCTTCCCCTCCCTCTGCTGGACATGGTCACACGGTGAAGTGCTGGCCAGAGCAGAGCTGTGGCAGACTTCCCCTGCCGACGGGGCCTGTTGATAGTTTGCAAAACAGACAGAGTGTTTTTTCCCAGCTCCATTAATGGACGCCAGTTGGTCTGAAGGAGCTTTCCTTAGCTGTAATCTAGTCTCCTCCTCTTTAATCATCTGCTGCGTGGCTCTTATGAGAGTTTCAATTTTGCTAGGTTCGTGTGGGCTGTTTTGATACTGTTCGGTGCGGTATCGGTCACCTGATTCACTGGCTGACCCAGGGTCTGGAGAGCTGACCACGCTATCTTCATCCCAGTGACCTCGACCTACATCATAAAAAATAAAAAGGAGATATTGTCAAAGTTCACACACACACAAGTGCATTTCTTTCCTAGAAAAAAAAAACTTACATTTTTCATTTTAATGCAGTATTGGAAATAGAAACAGGCCTATATGACAGAATATTGACATTTGTATAAGAATTCACATATATGTTGGATTCATATGTAATCAATGGGTTTCAATTGCAGATAATATTTATAAAATGCTTCTTAGAAGGTAAACTTCATTCATGAGTTGTGAATGTCAATTAGTAAAACAGTAAAGTACATTCATATTTCCCTATGTATGTATGTTATTGGACATACACATCCACAAATAATACGAGGAAGGAGAATACAATTTGTTTTTGTTATTAGAATGTTTTCAGTTGCATTTAAAGAAGACAATTGTATAAGCTGAACTATTATATTTTTTAAAAAGTCATTGAAAATTTTTAATAATTCTTGGTTTATTTTAAATGAGATTACACTAAAGCTCTAATGTTAGCTTTTTAACAAAATTGGGAGTTGATACAAATGCTTGTATATGGGTGTGTGGATGGATAGATGATATAGCTGTAGAGATATGTTGTCATAACTAAAAGTATAAATACTTTGTTACCAACAGTAGGGTAAGCATACTAGTTTCGGAGGTAACAATGGAAACTTTGGTTATTTCTGAAACAGAACTCCTATTATTGTTGAAACAAAGTCTTGAATAAATAAATATTGGCATTTTTATAACAACTTGTTCTCAACCAAGGTGGCAGATCTAACACTGAAGAGTAATGTATTCAAAATGTATTTCAGAAACTGAATTATTCTCAGTCTGAAAAAATATAAAGTGTAAAACTAAAGGAAAGCAGGGACATATGAGCCATAAAAACTGCTTAATTTTGCAGAAGAGTCCTATATCACACAGACCGTTCCTTCCTTTCCTCTTTTCTTGTTTTATTTCTAACATTTTCTTCCAGTCATATAGGTTAAGCCATATAGGTTTGTTTCTCACCTTTATCTGGCAAGTAATTGTGCTTTGCCCTGGGTTTCCATTACCAGACTACCAAAATGCTCCTTGGTTCTTAACAGGTTGTTTACTCAAAAGAAAAGCAGAAAAATAAAATGCAACAATGGAAAGAAGTTAAAATTTCTCATGGAAGTGTCTTCCAGGGGACATTGTGATGAGGACATGATCTATTTAGCACATTTCTCACGCTAAGAGCAGGGAGAAAACTAACAGGGCCTTCATAATGTCACTGACTTTTAATAAAATAGGGAAATTATCAAAGACCTGCCTAGAGCTATACTTAGAATGATCAGGATAGACTCTTAACTCATTTTTTTTGAAGAAGTAATTACCAAACTAATTTACTTTGTAATTTACAGAATAATTTAGTTTGAAGAAAGTATTACCCATTATCAAAGTTTTAACACTAGTCCATTTCTCTGGGCTGGTAAAACTGTGTAACTATCCCAAGGTGAAAATCCAGATGGTTTCTCCTCTTTTTTTTTTTTTGGTTTTTGGTGTTTCTGTTTAACAGCCCTGGCTGTCCTGGAACTCGCTCCATAGACCAGGCTGGCCTCAAACTCACAGAGATCTGCCTGCCTCTGCCTCCCGAGTGCTAGAATTAAAGGCGTGCACCACCACTGCCCTCTCCACCTTTTTAAAGGTAGTATTTTGCTTGTCATGGTGATGGGAGGCAGTACTGGGACTTGATTCCCAGAGAAGCTATACATGTCTGCACAAAGCCATAGTCCACTAAGCAAAGACTGCCCTGTCCAACACAGCAACAGTGCCCTTGCTGATAGACAGCTGCTGAGAGGATACCTAGGAGAAGACACTGCAAACTCTAAATGCAGCTACAAATTCAACAGATTTACAAATTGCTGATGTTTAATTTCTATTCTTTATGGTTTTTAAAATGAGAAATTTTTTTCTCATCTGTCATAAATATGCTAACACTACCAAAATAAATACACTTAAGCTGAGTGGACTAAGTTCTTAAAATCCCACTGGTGTGGGTTTCTGTAAATCAAAGGTAGAAAACCACTGGGGTCAGTCTCCCCAGTGTACAGCCTCCTGCTGGGGATCTGGTACCCCTCAAGCTCTTACCATGGATTCTGTGGACAGAGGTGATGTGCGGCATGCTGTTCTCATAGGTTTCTCTGCTCTCCGGGGAAACCTTGGTAAGTGGCAAGGCTGCTCGAGAGCCCCACCAGGGATCTCTCCCAGTTGGTGGTGCTCCTAAGAAGTACCTGCCTGCCTCACAGCGGCCCCCCTCACAGGCTTGAGTGTGGAAGTGTCTGTCCTCCACCAGCCTGGAGTGATCCAGGGCAAAGCCATAGCAGAGAGAGCTGCGATCTGGGAACTGCCTGTAGGCACATGACACTTCGTGCTGAGAAACAGGCCTCTCTGGGTCCAGGAGCTGTGGGGAGGCAGTATCAGTCAGGGGACTTCCACCCCACTGGCTGTCATGGTCAGATTCCGATCTTTCAGTGTGGAATCCCGAATACTGAAACCAAAGGGGACAATATCAATAATAAATAAATTAGATTAAAAATTTTTTAAACCTTTATCCTGCAATTATTGAAGGTCACATAGGCCTGAGGCAGTCAAAGTAAGACTCACTGTATCACTAAGGTACCCATTAACTTTGAACAATTTAATTAGCTAATACCCATACAGAAAATCCTCCTGGCTGTTGAAAGAGATAAAAACAATAGCAAACATCGAAGTCCTAGGCACTAAATGGATTGAATTACCCCAGATAGTTCTAATAACCCTTCAATGTAATATCATTGTCCTCAGTGATGTGGATAAGGATGGTAAGGCACAGAATAAAATAATTGGCCAAGACCACAAGAGAGGACTGAATAACAAAACCAAGACTCAAAGCCAAATTCTTAACCACCACCCAAATGAACTTCCCTAAATAAGAGTCCAAGAAATTTTCTTATCTTATATCAGTTTGCTTTTCATGTTTTTTCTTAGAAAAGCAAGATAAAAACTAAAGCTTAAGGTACCAATGTCCTGAGCTTTACTCATTTTGTTAAATTCTATTCGTTTAATTATTTATTTTTAATTGTATATAGGGGGAGGTGTGAGTATATGGATATGAATGTGAGTGCCCACAGAGGCCAGAGGTTTTGAATCCCCTGCAACTGGAATTACAGGTGGTTGTTAGCGATCTAACATGGGTATTGGAGATTAAACTTCAGTCAGCAAGAGCAGTATCAGCTCTTGACCAATGAGCCCTCTCTCTACCCTGAACAATTTTGCTAAACTATTAACTCTGTGAAAGCTGTGCCAGGTACATGGTGAGCACATAACAGAATAGCTACTAAATGCTTCCCTAACTCAAATGCAATGTAACTTTGAAAGTCTTGCCCCCATGTAAACCTTGTTCATAGATGGGCTTCTGAAGTTCAATTACACACAGGATCATATGGGAGGAATACAGGTCATCTATCTTTGCTGGAATTCTGCTGCTCATCTTCTCCAGACTATATCATTGGGCACTGAAACAAAATGTAAAACTCGAGCCAGCAGGAGGGCTCAGTGAGTAAAATCATTTGCTGCCTAGAATTGAATTCTGTCCCCAAATTTCATAGCAGGAAAAGAAAGACAACTCCCACGTGTTATCCTTCTAACCTCCACATGTTAATGGTGATACACATACAATGTAGCTAATGTGTATCCACACTCACGCGTGCATATCACACCTATACACATAAGTGCACAAAAAACATGCATGCAACAATAAAAATTTGAATGTAAAAAAGAAATAATATACAATGCTTCACAACCTCCCAAGGAATGTGCTCAGTATCAGAGTCCCCCTAAGCCACTAAAATTGGTACAAGAAGGTACTCTGAATACCACCAGAGGAGAAAGTTAATCATCTACCCACATCAACCACAACTCCTGGAACATACAACAGTGACCTGCATACAAGATATGCTGGTACAATAGTAGCACAAAAGTGTTACAAAAGTTGTAGGAGTAACCAACCACTCTTTGATTGAATTTAAGGCCCATTCCATGAGCTGGAACCCATGCCTGACACTAATGGGGTAGTTAAGAACTTGAGACTGACTGCATAGGCCCAGGCCAAAGGGAAAACCAAGATCTATGATTTTGCAACCATAGCAAGAAACACAATAAGAAAGTGATTCCTGATGACATTCTGCTATATTCATAGATCAATGTCGCACTCAGCCATCATCAAAGAAGCTTCTTTCAGTAGATGGGAATTAGCGCAGAGACACAGAACTGGACAATGTGTAGAGAGTAAGAGATTTGGAGCACTCAATCCTAAATGGGATGTCTTTAGTAAACCATTCCCCTCAAGGATCAGGTATCTATGCAGATGAGGAAGTGGAAAGACTGCAAGAGTCAGAGGTAATGGGTAACTCAAAGGAATCAGCATCTTCCAGGTACATATGAACTCACAGAGACTGTGGCAGCACATACGGGGCCTGCAGATGTTCAAGCCAGACAGGGGCTCAGCACTGAGAGGAGAAAGTGGACACAGGCTCCCAACCCTAACCAAGAAGCTATGTGCAATTGACATCTACTTGCTAAGGAAAAATTAGTTTCTACAATGCAATCTTACTGGGTGTATTTATTAATCACACTTAAGGATAGGCCCCCTGCCCAGTAGTTGGCCAATACAAAACAAACTCAATGGCATTTTTGTAGACTTTTTTTGCCTCATAATGCTTTATTTTCATCTTGTTGATCTTTTGCTTTGCTTGTATATGTTGGTTTCCATTTTACAGTGTGTGTGTGTGTGTGTGTGTGTGTGTGTGTGTGTTTCTTATTTTGTTTGTTCTTGTTCATTCGTTTTTGAAAGAAAGAAGGAAGAAAGGGTGCAGAGTTGGGTGACTGAGAAGGAAGAGAGGGTCTGGGAGGAGTTGGGAGAGGGGGAAAGTATGATCAGAATATATTGTATAAACATTTTTTATTTTCAGTCAGGCAGTGGTGGTGCACACTTTTAATTCCAACACTTAGGGGGAAGAGGCAGGAAGATCTCTGTGAGTTAGAGGCCAGCCTAGTCTACAGAGTGAGTTCTAGGACAGCCAAGCCTACCAAAGAAACCCTCTGTCAAAAAAACAAACATAAATTTATTTTTGATTAAAAATAAATAAAGGAAAATGTGGGGATACCTCATACAAAAAATGATATTATATTAATTTCTGCCAATTTGGAATTCCCTAGTACCAAACATGATTTAGGTAGGAGAGATTATCTTCTATGATAATTTATTGAAAACTTGCTATGTGTTTGCTGGGTGCTAATGTCTACCTACATTTATCATGTGGTCTCTATAACCACTCTAATGCAGGTGTTAAACTGCTCTGTTTAATATGTGAATAAACTACTCCAATGTTTCCATTTGGGTTTTCAAAGAACCACAGACACTTCATGGTCTATCTGCTCTCAAAAACTCCAATGCACAATTTTACACTTGAAATCAAACACTGTCAAGAAAGAAAGGAGAGAGCTAGGGAGATGGCTCAGTAGATAAAGTGCTTGTCATACAAGGATACAAATCCTACCTGAGCTAGGATTCTCCAGAACTCATGTAACTAGACATGCAGCCATATGTATTTGATATCTCAGCACACACCGAAGCAAACACAACTCTGTCTCAAACAAGGTAGGTGCAATGTGTGACCCAACAGCCAAGACTGTCTGTTCCTTTACCCTACATGTATACCTGCACATACACCTGAACACACACATGCACACACACACACACACACACACACACACACACACCATACACAAACAAAAAGAGAATAGAAAGAGATAAGAGAACATACAAACCAATGTTGAAAGCAAGTCCATGCCACGTTTTCTCTCTTAGACTACCTACTACATGACAGGGTAAGGAATCTGGGCTCTACTACCTTTGTCACTAGTTGGTTGAACAAATCACATGTGTTGGGCCTTTCACAGGACAAAGCAAAGACTCCACCTTCTACCAGGCCTACCCTGAGCTTGACTCTTCCCACTTGAATGCAAGTAGGCAACTCTACCCAGGGTGCTTGGGAAGAGAGATGAGGCACCCAGGTTCTTGTCAAGCAACCAAAAACTATGTTAATAGGTGTCACACTCAGGATGAACGTAAATGCAAATTCCAAGTTCAAAATTCTTCCCATGACCATTCTTAAATTATTATTTCAATTATTTTCCAAATACACATAAGAGCTATCCGCATTTTCCATTAACAACAACAGAAAAAAGTCCAACTTAATCTCCTTGCAGGACTGTAAATGGAAGACACCAAAGCACCCCCAGTTCTAATTCCTACATCACAACTGCCACCTACCACAAGCCTTTTCTCCCAGTCACGCCAGCCTCTTTCCACAAGACAGCAAGTTCTCTTTCAGCAAAGCAAGTTTAACACATCCTGGTCTTACTGAGTGGGGATCTGAATTTGTGTTTTCTTCAGCAATGCTTGCCTCAGAGAAGTTCAGCTATCTGTACTGTTCCAAGCAGGGAGTTGTCCATTCATCACTTGTTTTTATAAAAGTATAAACTAGACCTATTTTTGAAGTGCTCCAGTCAAGACTTCTGAGCCCTGTTGAGTGGGAGAGGCTTTCCCTGAGTGTATATTGGAAAGTAATATCACAGCAGAGAATAGTCTATGAATTGCTCATGAAGAAAATCCAACAGGAGGCAACCTGGGCATACATGAGGTACATATTTCAACAGCACTGGAAAAGAATCTGAAGGAAGCCTCTTGTCAATAGCCTGAAAACAAAAACAATAAAGACACTGCCCTGAGACATTGAATCAGGCAGAGCAGGGTGGCTGATCACTCAGACCATAAACTTAAACTGCTTTGACACTACAGATGGAGTCTAGATATAAATGTTTGCTTTTTAAGGAAAATGTGTGAACTTATACCAGCACACAAAAATAAAGCTCTGATCCATAGTTACTCCTCTTCTTTCTGGTTTAGGTTAGCTTTTACGTGTGTATGTGCTGTTTTGCTTTGTTTTGTTTTGTTTTGTGAGATAGAGTCTCACTGTATAGCCTGAATTGTCCTAGAAGTTACTGTATAAATCAGGCTGGTCTTGAATTCACATAGATCCATTTGCCTCTACTTCCCTAGTGCTAGGATTAATGGCTTGCAGTAGCCACACTTACTTCTTAAAATGAATTGTGCTGGATATAAACATTGTTGTGAATACTAAAGCCTCATTGGTTTTTTTTTTTTTTTTTTTTTTTTTGAGACAGGCTTTCTCTGTGTAGTTTTGCGCCTGTCCTGGAACTCGCTTTGGAGACCAGGCTGGCCTCAAACTCACAGAGTTCCTCCTGCCTCTGCCTCCCGAGTGCTGGGATTAAAGGCATGCGCCACCACCGCCCGGCTCATTGTTTGATTTGAAATATTTTTTAACTTTTTGAACTATTTTTATTTTTTGAGATTACTACAATTGTATCATTTCCCCTTCCCACCTCCACCTTGATTTATGGCCTCTGGACTATTTTTCTTTAATT